AAGGTGGGTATACAAACGAGGACGGTTTCTTCTCCGCGACACCGTAATATAAAATAATTAGATCATTCTTGTGCTATATTGGGTGGCTTTGCATTTTCGGGGAAAAGTGTGATCAAATCTTGTGCAACGAAGGCTGAGAAAATCGGTAAACATACGACTTTTGCTGTGACGACTCAAAACGCTTAACACTGATCTTTCTCAATGTCTCGAGCCGTCGCAGCCAGGAAACCAGCTATTCTCCTTCCTCGTGTCAATGTCTATCCTCACCGTTCACTGTCAATCATCTCAGCCAGATTGTATCCCGGGAGAAGTGAAGGTGTTATCCGCGAGTCTGATACATCATTTTCGAAAAAAGAAAAGGCTGCTGAAGAACAGTGGGCTCGCCAAAGAGTGAGTAACATGTTGAGAATATCACGGTTAAATTGAAGCTACATATATCAGTATCTCACGAATTTCTCATTTTCAGGATGCCGAGAAGCTAAAACATCTACGTGAAGCACTTGAAAAGCACGAAAAGTCTCTTCAAGATACACATGAGGCACTCAAAGACATTAAACAGAATATCGAAAACTTGTCAGAGAAGATCAAAGATGACTGAAGATGTAACGCTGTTTTATTAAATTTACGACTGATCAAATCTTCCGTGATTCGGAGACGATTTGAATTCAAAATACGCATATGATAAAACTGTTGTCAAGTCAGTTTCTGGTTTTTTGATGTCTTATATGATAATACGATCACCCTTTGTATGCAATAAACGAAACTGGCCCAGATGCTGGCCTATGATTGAATCTGAGAATATAACGGAAAATTGTGTGACAACCCATATTCGTCATCTTCAATAAGTAAGTTTATTTTGTCTTTTCTTATTTTCGTATCGTTATTTCGGTTAGAACTTCTTGTTACGCATGACCGAGCGAATTTATGTTTGATGAGACCTCTTCCCACTGTCCCTTGATCGACGCTTTATTCCGACCTGATACATTTGTTATTCTATACAACGATTTTCTGAACTAATTGGTTTCATGCTTATCACCCACGCGGTATAACGGGTAAACATGCAGTAAGCAGGAAAATAGCATCAGGCGTATTGAGAAGCATAGGATATGCCACATATTTATCTCCTATATATTTACGCCAGATCTGGTCGATTTTTAGCCATTACGTAGCAAACATTACGACTGCATGTCTCATTATACAAAAGTGAACATCTGATCATGCGAGGGGGTTGATGTGGCTGGAAGATGAGCTACGTAGAGCACTGACTAAAAGACCCCGGGTATTTTACATTTCTGATTTTAGTATACTTTACATCGTTGACAACCCCATAGTGTTTATGTAACTAACACACACTAGAATAAAAACTGTGTCGTACATAATAACCACGTACAACGTTCCCGCGTTACCGAACAAGTACGCAGAAGAGAAAAACTTGTTGTCATTTATTACTATCATTCCATATAGAGACAGCTTAACATTTCATCGTCAACAAACGTTTCGCCGCCAAAATTCTGCAGAATTATTAAAGCATCGAATGAATTACACCTAGTACAAGAATACGTGTGTATCCTCAGCAGTCATTTCATAATTTTCCACGTCTACATTGCCGTCCAGTTGCGTTGAACATTGTATGTGTTATTATTATATATTCCCTTTTTAATCACGTGATAACGTAATATTTGATTTGCATAATATGCGGTCCTTTATAAAATTCTAGCATAAACTGCTGGGGATAAACCAACATAAAAAAATGACAAATTGCATTATTGTGACTGGTACATCTAGGATTGGCAAACCAGTTTTCTTGTGTATTTTGCCATCTGACTTCTAGCTGAATGTGATGATGACAATCCACCTGTCATTATTTTCCAGCTTAATATTAGACATGCAGACGGAAATGTTACACTTTCAGGGAAACAATTTAATAAAGGAAAACATTGAATCATTCTCCAATCTGATGACAGTGACGTCAAATGATCATTTTGTCTGGTTTGTTGCAGCACAGACTGCAACAAAACCACGTTCTCGATGAAGGCGCAATTATCGGTAAAGGCCCTA